TTCTGCAATTCACATTAGTTAACGCAGCTGGCTGCGTTCTTCATCGACGCACGAGCCGAGTGATCCACCACTAAGAATTGTCCGATTACCTTATTTCAGGCTTAACAGGTCACCTACAACGAAGAGTCGTGGAAACGAGTAGCAACAAAAGAAAAGGAAGGGTTGGCCGGCGCCCACCTAGGCGTTGGACCTCCTTCAAGCAAAGCCACCAAAAAATATGACCACGGTCAGCCCCGAGAAGCATCCCGAACCACGGAGGATCGGGTGGTTCTCGCAAGTGCACTTCCAAGTTCGAAACGGCTTTGCTGCCCGGCCGCTTGCCGCACAGCCCTCCCTCAAGCTCTCGGTAGGGAGCACTAGGCCCTAGACCGGGATTCGAATTCACTGTTCGAGTGCCTCTGTAATTATCTGTAGCAGTACTACCATCTGTAAATTTGTACCTAGGATCTGTGTGTAAATAATACCTTGCATTTTTAACTAATATCCCAGCTTCATGGGTTATACACCAAGCTTAGGAAGGTCATTTACCTTAAGGTCATTTGCCTTAATTCAAGTGACCACATATCATTTGGGAATGTTGATGAGTTTCCCAGGTACTAGACAAGGACAGGCAATTACTAATCCTTATTGGTCAGATGGTATGAAAGGTGATGCTATATCGCATACATTTGTACTTTTACAGACACTCCTCAGTTTGTCCTCCCTGAGTACACATTACTTTGGCTTTCTATCAATTTGTATATATCACCAACTTGTTTCTCAAGTGTTTTTGTAAATAGGCATTTCACTTGGAATAAATTGCACAGTTCTACATATAAATTAGTGTGGTGTATTTTTATCATCTCATCGTACACTTACACTAAAGATCCTTCCGCAGGTTCACCTACGGAAACCTTGTTACAACTTTTACTTCCTCCTAATGATCAAGTTTGAGCGTCTTTTCGGCACGTGAACGGCTAACCGACACGGCCGATCAGATGATCTCACTAAACCATTCAATCGGTAGTAGCGACGGGCGGTGTGTACAAAGGGCAGGGACATAATCAACGCGAGCTGATGACTCGCGCTTACTGGGCATTCCTCGTTGAAGGGAAATAATTACAAGTCCCTATCCCTAGCACGAAAGAGGTTCAACGGATTACCCAGACCTGTCGGTCAAGGGCAAAGATGCTGATTCTTTCAGTGTAGCGGCCCCGAACATCTAAGGGCATCACAGACCTAAACGCCACTTGTCCCTCTAAGAAGTTATGCGCCCAACGCAACGGGTGGCGAAACTATTTAGCAAGCCAGAGTCTCGTTCGTTATCGGAATTAACCAGACAAATCGCTCCACTAACTAAGAACGGCCATGCACCGCCACCCACAAAATCAAGAAAGAGCACTCAATCTGTCAATCCTCACTGTGTCCGGGCCGGGTGAGTTTTCGCGTGTTAAGCCGCAGGCTCCACGCCTGGTGGTGCCCTTCTGTCAATTCCTTTAAGTTTCAGCTTTGCAACCATACTTCCCCCGGAACCCAAAGACTTTGGTTTCCCGTAGACTGCCCGCCGCGTCATTGGAGTAACGCCGGCGGATCGCCAATCGGCATCGTTTATGGTTAGAACTAGCGCGGTATGTGATCGCCTTCGAACCTCTAACTTTCGTTCTTCATTAATGAAAACATTCTTGGCAAATGCTTTCGCAGTCGGTCGTCTTGCGGCGATCCAAGAATTTCACCTCTCACACCGCAATACGAATGCCCCCGTTAGTCCCTCTTAATTATTACATCGAGTTCCGAAAACGAACGCAATAGAACCAAGGTCCTATTCCATTATTCCATGCTCTGCTATTCAGGCGTATGGCCTGCTTTGAACACTCTAATTTTTTCAAAGTAAACGTTCCGGTCACCCCCGCCACTCAATCAAGAGCACCGGGTGAAAACCGAGAGAAAGGCCAGGACGGGCAGTAACACGTCTTGCGGCGGACCGCGAGCCTAAGCCCAAGATCCAACTACGAGCTTTTTAACTGCAACAGCTTTAATATACGCTATTGGAGCTGGAATTACCGCGGCTGCTGGCGCCAGACTTGCCCTCCAATAGATCCTCGTTAAAGGATTTAAAGTGTACTCATTCCAATTACAGGGCCTCGAAAGAGACCTGTATTGTTATTTTTCGTCACTACCTCCCTGTGTCAGGAGTGGGTAATTTGCGCGCCTGCTGCCTTCCTTGGATGTGGTAGCCGTTTCTCAAGCTCCCTCTCCGGAATCGAACCCTGATTCTCCGTTACCCGTGACGAGCATGGTAGGCGCATAATGTACCATCGAAAGTTGATAGGGCAGACATTTGAAGGATCCGTCGCCGGTGCTAGACCGTGCGATCAGCAAAGTTATCCAGAGTTCACCAAGGGGACGGGGCAAGCCCTGATTGGCCTTGTTCCTAATAAAAGCACGCCTTCCGCGAGGTCGGCGCTTGTTCGCATGTATTAGCTCTAGAATTACCACAGTTATCCATGTAGGTAAATCAGTTCCAGGGATAACTGATTTAATGAGCCATCTGCAGTTTCGCTTGGTACAAGCTTGTACTTAGACATGCGTAGCTTAATCTTTGAGACAAGCATATGACTACTGGCAGGATCAACCAGATATCTACCGGAGGAGCGCCTACGCTCCTAGCTCACCTGTTGTAACGACGTGGTGCATGGGCTAGATCCCATCAACCTAAAAAAAATTGGCCACGGGAGAAAAGCAGGCTGGCCAGCAACGCACGGCCGGCAACTCAATCTCTTTTCATCGTTAACTCTACCTTCCCATGCTAGGCAACAGATCGACGAAATCGATGGACGACCTTCGAGGAACCGGCGGCCGGGAGTGCAGATTGACTGAGCGCGCCCGCGTCACAGAGGCTGTGAGGCGTCACTAACCGAGCCGAAACGTAGGCGCCAAGCCACCAGGCCCAACACCACACAAATCCCAACGCGTTGATTTGTGGAATCGGCTTTACACTAACCTTAAAAATAACTCTGCCTATCTTAATGCACTAGAGCATGACGTGAGATAGGCGTAGATGCAACCACTATTCATCGCAGTAGAGTGCAGTAAAAAATGTAATTAATCGGTCTAGCAGCTGCGAAACTAAAAACTTTACTCTGTTCATGTTAACGTTACCTTGCAAAAAACAAAAACAAAAAACAAAGGAAAATAAAATGAAAAACTAAAGAAGAAATAAGTTTAAAAAAAAACAAAAAAAACTAACACATTATCAGAGACAGTGATAGCATAGAAAAGAATAATTCTTCGACGAAACGACTTAAAATAAAACAAAAGAGAAGGTGGCGTAAGAAAAACAGAAAAAAAATGAGAAAAAAAACAAACAGGCAGGCGGGCGGTTGGGCGGGCAGGCAGGCAGGCAGGCACCATAGACTAGCACCCAGGCAGTCTAGGCTGCCAGGACTCTCGACTATGATGTGATGATTAAGATATAACAAAAGAGAGAAGGTGTAGGAAAAACAGGCACCATAGACGAGCACCCAGGCAGCCTATGACTCTCGACTATGATATCATAATTTATTAAGATAACAAGATTGGCCAATTCTGCGACATTCGGATTGGCCTAGACTAAGCCTAGCCTAGCCAAGCCTAGCCGAGCCCAAACAGACCAAGCCCAGGCTGGCATGGCCTGTCCTGTCCTGTCAAGCCTAGCCTGAGTTCATTCCTTCATGGTGAACGCAAATAAACGTCCCCTTGTTTTGACTTTGCCACCTGCTCGAGTTTTCAAAGCTACGGGCTCCAGTTTTAAAAAACTATAGGCCCCAATTCGATAGGCATTGGAACGGGTCGACTTTTTAATGGCACCTCCCCCCCCCCCACACACACTAGGGTCCCTTGGAAGCATCGGCTCGGCCTAGCCTATCAATGCATAGCTTAGTCCAGCCTACCCTAAGCCGAGCATGACCTACCCTAGCTGGGCCCGGCCAGACTCAGCCCAGCCTACTATAGACTAGCCTGGACCGGCCTAGCCTGAGCTCATTCCTTCATGGTGAACGCAAACGAACGTCCCCTTTTTTCGACTTTGCCACCGGCTCAAGTTTTCAAAGACTAGAGCCCAATTCGATCGCCAATGGAACGGGTCGATTTTTCAACAACACCCCACCACCAACCCTAGGGCCATGGGTGTACCTGGCTATGCGGGACCATCGGCTCGGCCTAGCATAAGCCCAGACGAAACCCAGCCTACCATAGCCTAACCTAAGCCCAGCCGGACGCAGCCCAGCCTACCATAGCTTAAGCCCAGCCTTGCTTAAGCCCAGCCGGACCAAGCCCAGCCTACCATAGCTTAGCCTAGCCTAGCCTAGCCATAAGCTCATTCATTACAGAAGAATTGGGTGAGCAATCATATCATGATTAAGATAACAAGAGAGAAGGGGTAAGACTCAACGTCCGCCTGACGTCAACTTTTTCTGTCGCCATGCCTACACCGATTCGCTGAATTGGTAGTACAGTAGAACCTCGATTTTACGTACGGTACGGGACCAGAGGGCGTACGTAAATCGGGGGATTCGTAAAATAGAGGTTGGGTTAAATTTGTGGTAACCTTTGACCTAATACGTACGTAACTGTCTCTTATACACATCTAGATGTGTATAAGAGACAGGCTTGTGTACGTGAAACAGCAACCATGTGCTATGCACTGGGCGAGCCAACCAATTAGCGTTCGTGTACGAAACTATGTCTACGCAGCTTCGTGTACAAAATTAGACCAGACGAGTTCTTCCATGGTTTGCCACACGAAGCTAAGGAGGAAAGCAATAATTTTGAGCACCATCGGTAGTTGTTCATCTCACTCAGTTCACGTGGTTTTAGATTATAACAACCCGGTATTAGACTCAATCAGCGTTGCTGTTTAATGAAAATACTTTGCATTATGGTTTGTTTATTGTTATAGTTTATTGTTATATTCTTTTTACTTATGGTTGCTCTCAAAAGGGCCGTTTGTTTTGAATATTTTCGGGGTTTTTGATGACGTCATCGTCCATACGAGGCGTACGTAAAACAGAGGGTTCGTATAACTGGGGTACGTAAAAACGAGGTTCTACTGTACAAGTGTTGATCACACCCAGTGCTCCACGGATTTGCCCTCCTTGTGCGGACAAATCTCGCGGATCATGTAAGGTTTAGTTTCAGTAGATCGCAGCGAAACCGCTGCTCACGGTATCTTCACTGTAGACAAAAAGTCCGAAATAAAGGCAAGAAAAAACTATAGATGGCGCGCTATATTTAAAACTTATTTGGATACACGTCACCATGTCTGAATATTCAATACTGTTAATTAGCCATTAATACTGAGATAACTAGAAAGATTATCTGAATATTCATGATCGACCCCTAATTTGGTCACGAGGGAGGAGCCTGGAACCTTTCGTTCAGAAAAATACTTCATGGAAGTCGATGTGGAAGCCGATAGACGTAAGTGTGTAATTTTCATGTTTTTTCAGTTTTTTTACTAAATTTGTAATTAGTGTTAGCCATCATTTATCATCACATATGTTGTATTTATAAATTGATTGATAGTTAAAGAACAAGTTTGCAAAATAAAAATTTTTTGTAACGGCTATTTTTTTTTTCAATGACGGTTAATGTAACCTTCCCGTTTAGGCGACAGTGGAGCACGTGTTATGCATTGTAGGAGGCCTAGCGCCATATGCACGCCTAGGAAGTGATCGCTCATGAGGTTTTCTTAGCTCTTTCGGCATCGACGTAGGCCTAAGCAGGTATGCGCGCATAACACATAGGCGTTTAAAAATAATCTACATAGGCCTAGGCCTCAAATGATACATATATTCGTTTTTATTGTTTCACAATTTACTAATTCAATTTTTAAATATATTTTTAGACTAGCTAGGCCTATTCCTAGGCCAAGGCATACGCCTAAGGCATAGGCCTAACTAAGTCAATGGGGGTCCGACGAATTACCCAAATGATACGCAATTACCCAAATGATACCCAAACAATACACAATTAGCCAAATGATATTAATTATCCAAATGTGTGTAATTAACTTTGAAACCTTTTGTATTTTTAACATACATTTATAGTATTTATTTGTCAATTATTCGTAATTACTACTACTACTCTAACTACTACTACTACTACTACTACTACTACTACTACTACTACTACTACCACTACTACTACTACTACTACTACTACTACAACTACTACTACTACTACTACTACTACTAGCTACTACTAGCTACTACTAGCTACTATTACTACTACTACTACTACTACTACTACTACTACTACTACCACTAATAATAATAATAATAATAATAATAATAATAATAATAATAATAATAATAATAATAATACATGAGGAACCTTCACCATTTGCCAAATTTTACAATTTTGAACCAGGTTTTGCCGATCCCTTCTTATCTCTATTAATTACTGCTTCAGGGAATTTTGTAACAAGATTAACAGTGAAGCTCATTAGTTGTGAATAGTTCATAAGAAGACTAGCACAATTAAATCAAAAACCATGTTGTAACTTCTAACATAAGTCATTGATTTTTAAAATTCAAAAGCATATCTATTATGATTTTTATCTGAAATTATAGCTAAGGTAATAAAAATGCCATTTTTTTTTATTACAGGTTTTTAAAATTTTCCAGCCTGGTTTTTAAATACTATACTGGTAATTTATTGAGAAACAGCAATGCCTGCTGTGATAATGACCCTTAAGTAGAGGTATTCTTCTTTGATGTTTAATTGGATTATTGAGATAAGATTCTGGCAAAACCTGGTACACCAACCCGCCTGAATGCCCTTTTAAAGGGTTTGCTGGTAAATGGGATAGTAACAGCATGAATACAGTATTTTTCATATATGTATTAATAATCTATTCTGGTAATTGCTAATAATATTTTTGTTTTATTGGTTTCTAACGTCATTTGCATATTTTCGGACATAAATTACATTCTTTTCTTTAGCATACAATATTTATTTGTCAGGAATAGCTATTACGGTTTTCATAACATTAATAACAACAATAACATTATTCATTGCATTAATAACTAATGGAACAATTATGGAACACAGTATTTAATTTTGAAGTCAATATTACCATGTTAAATTATCAATGAAATTCAACTCGTATACACTCCATATTTACATTACAGTATTTCATTGTCCATACAAAATTTTTCTAATATTTTAATAGTTGAAACATATTGAAATATTTTTAAATCAACTCATATGATACGGTCCATATTTAAATTTTCTAACAGTAGGCCATATATTATTGTTCGTACAAAATTTAGATATGTACAGTTGGCCTACGGTTTTCTGTACAGCGTTAATATATAGTATTATTGTTTGTACAAAATTTACATACATGTCGAAAAATGATTCAAAACTCTATATTTAAATTGTAGCACAACGCTGCTTGTGTGTACAATGTTAATGACGTTTTAAATATTGTGTTTCCTTTTACACCATGATAATAATGTACTTCCGTAATTACAGTAGTCTGTGCGGTTCAATTGTCTGTAAGAAATCATTTAAGGATTTTGATTTTAAGGCTGTATGGTCCCAGATTCTTCATTCTTCATTACCTGATGAAGATAAAACAATTGTGGCATTATTATATAATATCAAAATTAGTGGTCTAAATTTCTGAAAATTTACCATTTAAATTGAATATGATCAAAATATACTAACAATATTTTCTTTTTCTGGGTGTTACTATCTTGTCATGTATCTCGGGGGATGTTAATATTATATGGTTTTTAAGAATGGACTCCATTTGTCTCATTTCAGATTGTACACCGTAAACGTTCCTTGCTTGCTTGTTGAAGGCAGCGTGGATTTGCTCACCACCTTGCTTGCTTAGAAGACCTAATCCAAAGTGCCATCTCTTAAGGGTAGGTACAACATGCATTTCAAGCATATGCAGTTTAGGCGAAATGCTGTGCCCGTGTTGTCGGTATTCTCCAATGAAATCCTTGATGTTGTCATCTATCCGGGAAACAAACAAAGTAAAAGTGATAGGGATAAGATAAATAACTCGGGTTTTTATATATATATATTGAATATTTTATTTATATTTTTTAAAAACATCTATAAATGTTGCAAGGAAAATATACCCACCAATTTCTTGTATCTTGTTATCTGAGATTGGACGAGTATGATTGATTTTTTGTTCCACTGTTGAAAACTTTGTGAAAAGTGGAACGAATTTGGATGCCATCACCTTGGCTTTATATGACAACTCGTTTGCATGCTTGATTGGAATTTCCATTGCCTGCTTATCTAGTGTTTTTTTGCATGCTTTCAGCAACTTTTGGATATTATATTTATCTGCAGGAAAAAAATTTATGAAATTGTCTTGTCTAAATAAAATTAATTAGGTTTATAGTTTGCGAGTTCAAATAATATATTGACATACTGTAATAAACAGTACTAAATTTTAAAAAATACACTAATATACTGTAACATAAAATCGTACTTCAGTGATAATAATATAAAACCGAAAGGTTCACTGATTAATCTCAGATAAGAAAGTATAATACATACTCCAAGTATTGAAATACACGCCATCGTGTTGGGATTCAATATTTCAACATTAATTATGTCATCATCATTGACAATGGCAAAATCATTGAAATACACGATGGCGTGTATTTCAATACTTGGAGTATGTATTATACTTACTTAATAATATAAAATATTAAAAATTACCTGGCAACATTTATGGACATGATTTCCATTAAAAGCTTTACCATGATATGCTTTTCTGTCAACCTGATGTTTCCTTAAAACAGAGTCCATGGCAGAAACAATTGGCCCCATTCCAAACTTTAAAGTTTTTTATTGCTTTCCATTGCTTGTTCCTAATACATAAATATAATTTTAAATTAGTGTAGTGTGCAGTTAACATAGCCATTTCTTTTTTTTTTTTTTTTATTGTTACACTATATTAAATACTTACAAGTTCTTTAATTGTCTGGCACTTTGAAGATATTAAAGTTGCAGATTTTGCTAGCTGGGCAATTGTCATATTGTCCTCTATGGTGTTGATTTCTTCACGCAAAATCTGTATCTTTTCTTTACATGTTTCAACCGTCGTAGCATTTTGTGCATTAGCCAGTTCAAAATTGTTCATGGATTCTGATGGATTAGTTTGTCTACTAAAGATATGGAAAGAAATCATAAAAAATTCTGATTCTACTGTAACACAATAATATTAAATATATTTAAATATAGAGTACTTGATTACTGTACCTGAGTTTATATATTATGCTATCTATGTCATGGGCTTCTAGCTCTAGCAAGTCATACAGTTTCTTAAAAACTCCAAGAGAGATGTGAAGGCATGGAATTGAAACCTATTGAAAGAAAAGTGAAAAATTGTTTAATATTATTTTAGAATATATTGCACAGTATCACATTTAATATCATAATTTTACTTTTTTGTCGAATTTAAATATTCATTTGAAAAGCTTACATGGTCTATATCAATGTTGACCATTGACTTTCTCACAACATTTCTCGAGAAGTCTTTGCTTGTTTTTTTACAAGAACCAGCAGCAATAAAATTTTTGAGGTCCTCAGACAGAGACTTCATACTTCTTTGCTGCTTTCTGATGCCTTTGTTCATCTCATCTTTGGTAGTTGTACAAAGCAAACAACCATATCGTCCTGAAAGTTAAATTGTATATTTTTAGATTATCATAATAATAAACAATTATAATAATTATTTATTTAACATCACAATTATTTTCTTACCATTAGGTGATTGGAGGCCATAGATCCTTATCATGAAATCGTAGTCGCCGAAGAGGAACAACTTGATTTTGTAACCTCTGAGATGAATGAAAGAAATGAAAACAAATATCAATTTGTTAAAGGTAACTATAGTAGTTTTAAATAGTATGATATTCCCGGTACGAATTTTAATTATGGATGGTTATTAAAAACAAAAATTGGCCAAACCTCCAAACTTGTCCATGTAATTTTTTTTTATCACAAAATAATTTTGAATTTGAATATTTATCATTAAAGAGTGGGTAATATTTATCATTAACCAGTGGGTAATAAAAACTTACTTGTAGTGTTTCTCTAGATTCATGTATACGAACTGTTGAATGTCCCGTATTTTTGTAACAGGGGCCATCCTTTCTTCATAGCCATTTTGACCATTTGCCGTCTCACACTTGAATACTAGGCTTATCATTTGGCTTTGTATGAAATCTTGGGTAGGATCCTGCTGTCTGTATTGCATTTTTCTCTCTGAAAAGAATAATACACTGTTTTGTTTACCTTCTTATCTTCCTTAGCTGTTGCCAGCCAAGACTGCAGTCAGATTTTAATGCGAGGCTGTCGTCCACACTTGGATGTTTTCGCTGCATGGACTGCAGTCCTTCAGCAGCCAGTTGCGTTTCGTTACTTACCGTTACCACAAGAAACAATTCTTCGAATTTCCTTAATTTCTGCTGTCCTTCTCGAAACAGTCTTTTTGCTGACATCATCACTAGATTTTGTTGCATTTGATATGACAGCAACTTTCAGTGGCTAAAGGAAAAATACATATCATTGTGTATAATATTTGTTATCACTTGGACACTTGTAGTACAGTTTATTTTATCGTTCAAATATATGTTGGCAGATGGAAGCCATTACAGATTTTATAATCATTACAGCATTTGATAAATTATACAAATTTACAGTAATATTACTGTAACTAATTTAAAAAATTGATTGAAATTTACTTACTCTGCCATTTGTTATTATGTTGATTTCTTTTTGCTTTTTGAGTGATTTATGAAGCACTTTATGAGCTATTTTTTCCAGCTCATTTGGCATCACTTTATTGATCTGACAGTTGATTTCATTTACTGCTTTTTTGATTTTCTCAACTGTCTGTTCATATTTTGATGAACATTTGTGGCCCTCACAGTCATTGTATAACAGTGTGCTGGAACACTTCTGGCATCTCAGTTGAACAGAGAGGGGTGATTGCTCACTCAGTTCCGATGGTGGTCTGACATTGTTACGATTAACAGGACAAGAATACTTAACACATGGAATGACATCAGACTTAAGCGTACGAAAGAGTTGAAACAAACAATGTGCACAGAAAGTGTGACAACATTTAGTTTCCAACATCGATAGAGACATAACATTTTTGCATATGGTACACACATAAATTGTGTTAGCTGCATGTTCTTTATTTAGTATGAACTGGCTAGACAAAATGAATCCGTGTGGTTTGTCCAGTTGTATGTGTTTATGTGTTTAAATTTATACGCCTTTGATACACATGCAGTACAGATATTTTTAGGATGAATATTGTTAATTGAATTGCTAAGATTGTAGAAATCAAGTATTTCAGGTCTCAAACTCAGGATTTTACATTTTGTATCACAATTCTTGAACTTATAACCACAGCAAAGTTGGCACATAGAAGAGAAATGCACATCCATAATTTACAACAGTACGGTATACACTGACACAACATAAGCAAACCCCATCTCACAGTCAGCACCCCATCTCACAGTCAGCAGTCCCTCAGCAAAAAAGCGTTTATCCTATGCCTAAGGCTAGGCCTAGCCTGTATATAACGTAGAAAGTTGGGAATAATAATAAGCTAGGCAACAAAAAAACGAAACCCAAAATGATGTATGTCGTGTGTTACAGACGATAATAAGTTTCGTATTTAGCGCCCCAACGTTCTGTGGTGGAGCTGTTTGTTTATATCGTCTCTGAATGATAAGCCCCAGAAATACAACAAAAAATACGAGTAAACGGTTTTTTTAAACAGTGTGATTCTAATGTATGGTTTAATACATATAAATGTAGCTTGTAATTAGTTTGAATCCAAAAAATATGACTTCTATTTTCTGTAATATCTGATATACTACACGTATTCCAGTACCGACAAATTCGCTACCGTAGCGATGAGTCAGTCGTTCCGGTTCATTGATCTCGTGGGCTTAGAAAATATCAGAGCCATATATATAAAGAGTTGCGACATTCCGCTCCTTGGTTTACGAAAGTCACGTGGTAC